TATGTTTGGTTTGAAAAAAAAAATCTGGGGAGACCTATGCCAACATCCTTAGAAGATGTTCAAGAATATATACCACAGAATACTAAAATGCTGTGACTGTGCACAAACTAGACTCTTAGCTTTACCATATATTTTTTCTACAAGTACTTCTGATGTTATTACATTATTTACCTTTAGAACCAAAATAAGTTACATATGCGAAAACCGTAACAACGTACCACAAAAGAGAATGAATATAATCTACAACTCAGCTAACAAAGTCCCATTGAAGCAGGCTAGAAATCAAATTAAACTGTGGACGTTATAAGTGAGCACAGACTTTAAAATGTCGGACAATCTTTTTTATGTCTGCAGTGAAGAATGGAAATGATTCAGATAATCAGACTATGTTCTAACATTTTAAATAAGTAATAGAGACATGTCCAACCTTAGGCACAGAATTTTCTAGAAAATAATCTTGGTGGAACAGAATGCTAATATTACCGGTAATGTTGTTTGGTTTGAATTAAAATATTGTGATCGGATGACACATAAATGTACACTTATCTTCTCAAAAAAGCAGTCCATATACCATTATTTTAATAAACACTTGAGAGACCTTACTGTAGATAAGGACAAATAACCCTTGGAATTTTTATATGATGGTCAATTAAACAGCTTTGAATCTCTTTCACAAAATCCTTTCAATACAACCTCAGATGTGTTTTGAANGGTAATATTTTACCCTGACAAATGGTGTGACACATTATGTTTGGTTTGAAAAAAAAAATCTGGGGAGACCTATGCCAACATCCTTAGAAGATGTTCAAGAATATATACCACAGAATACTAAAATGCTGTGACTGTGCACAAACTAGACTCTTAGCTTTACCATATATTTTTTCTACAAGTACTTCTGATGTTATTACATTATTTACCTTTAGAACCAAAATAAGTTACATATGCGAAAACCGTAACAACGTACCACAAAAGAGAATGAATATAATCTACAACTCAGCTAACAAAGTCCCATTGAAGCAGGCTAGAAATCAAATTAAACTGTGGACGTTATAAGTGAGCACAGACTTTAAAATGTCGGACAATCTTTTTTATGTCTGCAGTGAAGAATGGAAATGATTCAGATAATCAGACTATGTTCTAACATTTTAAATAAGTAATAGAGACATGTCCAACCTTAGGCACAGAATTTTCTAGAAAATAATCTTGGTGGAACAGAATGCTAATATTACCGGTAATGTTGTTTGGTTTGAATTAAAATATTGTGATGGGATGACACATAAATGTACACTTATCTTCTCAAAAAAGCAGTCCATATACCATTATTTTAATAAACACTTGAGAGACCTTACTGTAGATAAGGACAAATAACCCTTGGAATTTTTATATGATGGTCAATTAAACAGCTTTGAATCTCTTTCACAAAATCCTTTCAATACAACCTCAGATGTGTTTTGAACCAAATCCAACAGCTTTTGGAAGTTTCTGGTAAAATTGTCATCTCTTAAATACAAAATGCTTCTCAGCAAGGAGGCTTAAAATTGCCTAAATACTCTAAGTGCATCAATTATAATACCTTTGTACATGTATTTCATGCACATTACATCAAATGACAGCAGAGAGAATTTTCCTACCATACCTAATTATCTTTCAGGAAAACTGCAGCAAGTCATTTGAAAACTCTGTATAAGACTAAGAGGAGACCCAACAATAAAAAAAATACCATTGTGCTTTTTCCGGCCTTTTTATTCTCTTCCATAAACTAAAACGGTAGAGGCAGTAATAAAAAACTTGTCACAGTAACTGACCCCCCCCCCAAAAAAAGATAAATCTCTGGGTGTATGAACCATTTTAGATCTCTTTCATTCTACAGTCTGTATCTTGAGCAATGCTTAAATGAGTACCTTAGAAGTACAGAAATTCAAAACCCAAAGTTGTGCAAAAAAAGAGCCCAAAGTTTTACAAAGAGACCATCAAAGCTTCAAATTACAATATTACTGTAAAATTTTGTTTATAAACCCTTGCATTTTATGGAAACAGGGTCTGTTTCGTAAAAAAAGAATAAATAGAGAACTTGTGGTACCAACTCCACACATTTTCCGATCACACCCCTTTTAGTGTGTAAAACCAGAGTTTATTTCAGTTCCAAAGTCTTTCATATTACGTGTGACAATGGTAAGTTTTATCAAAAAACCCAATTCAGGTAGCCTACAAATACATTGCTTTGCCAGGAGGGATGTCTGCACCTGAGTGATAGAAATTCCATACTGATGATGTAAAATCTGTCCAGCAACTGGTCAGGGGCTCTGATTGGTCAATGTAGTAGTTACATTGTTTTTGCTGTCGTTCATGAATAACAGACAAAAGACAAAAGGCCACAAAGGTCAAAAGTAAATGCAATTAACCAACTATTCATGGAATATATTCTTCTTTAGAAAAAAAAATTTGAGTTTTGCTGGAGCTCGTTCGCAGAAGAACACAAACATTACAATAATTGATCAGGAGAAACATAAAATCAAAAAAATTTACATCTGGAACCTCATAACTACTGAATTAATTATGTAAACATTGATTTAAGTCATCAGTATGGGTTCTTCTGTTGCTGAGGAACAGATGCCCCTCCTAGCAAAATGTCCCTAGCAGTGCGGAGAGAGGAGAGACGGCTTTTTTTCTTTCAGGCTACACTCAGGGTTTGTTTCCAAAGAATAAAATTTGACTGCACCATTCTAACTCCACTCCCACATTTCAATACACCATATTCCAAAATGCCAACAATTTTATTATTCTTTTATAGTTATGTTAATTGGCCCTCGATGTCTCGATCGCATCTTGATAATTCAAAAGAATTGCTAGCTAGAATCGAGGCATCGTGGGCTAATTAACATAAATATAAAAGAATAATAAAGCCTTCGCCATTTTGGAATAAGGTGTATGTGCCTGTATTTGTTGAACTAAGACACACATTTGCTTTTTGGACAAATTGACACAAATTGGCCAGTTATCTTTTGAAAATAAATAACTGAATTGTAGCAAACTTTAAACATGGCTCTTTCCAAATAAGAGCTGGGCCAATCACAAACTAAAAATCTACACTTCAAGTCCTCAACCACAAAACAACCAAATCACTGCTGTTCAAAAGGCATGGAAACCTAATCAGTTTTCGTCTGTATCAAAACTATAGACAATGTTAATCTCTTATATAAGCATAATTTATAGAGCTTATCTGTACATCCTAACAAAGGATAACTGTACACTACACACTTAAGCTTGCAGTAATTGCATGCAATCAAGAATTTGACAAAATGCAAATGTCCATGAATATTAAATAAGGGGTGGTTTTGATTTCAAGGTGAAGGTTACTTTTCAGTAGAGTTAGCACGCAGAAAATTGATATTGTAAAGGTACAGAATGAGCAGGGAATGAAAAGACCAATGGAAGTAAGCCACACTAGGGCAAAACAGAAGAACAACTTTAGATATGGCAGCCTATTTGATAAACCTTCAAACTTCTAATCAAACACTAGCATACACTGTGTTAATGCAGCCACACATTCAACATAATGTGAATATCTCCACAGGGATTCAAAACCTCCGCCCGACAGGATCTTTTGACTACGAGCAATCAGGAGCAGTACAAACAAAAACTGAATTGATTCGCATTCATAAGAAGTTTGCTTATAATTTCATCTGAGATTTGTGAAATTGGAAAAAATTTTGCAAATTGCAGCTTCTGAAAGAAAAATTGCTAGATTATGCCCTATCATTAAGTGTTTATTTTCATCTCACACGTTGCATTAAGAGACAGAAAACGATGGTTATGGCATAAATAAAGTAATTAGCAGGTTGTGTCCAGAATATTGCCGTTCTAGATATAAAATAGGTCAGACATTTTCACCATTCAGGAAAAGTAGCCTTTGGTTAACCAAAAATTCACATTTCATTTTGGCATTTACGACAACATTTTAAGTCTTTTGGTTAAGCTTAAGTCAACTTCCAGACAACCATTAAAAACAGTTTGAATTTCTCCATGAAATTAATCTGTTTCACACCAACGTATCAGAATGTTTTTCGACAAAGTGTGGGTAGATTTTAACCGGCTGAGATTTCAAAACAACTGCTCGATCAAAGACCACGAGAGGAAGTATTCGCCTTTAAAAGCTCGGGATAATAAGATATAAAAATACGGATGTAACTTAAAGGGCTGCAACCTGTTTATTCCAGCTATTGTTTTAGGCTGCTCGCCCTTTAATAATTTTAATCCTAAGCAAAACAAAGTCGTTTCTCCACAGACCTTACCTCAGAAAATATCCAGCTGAAGTCCATGTTCAATCATCGTTGCTGCAGAGGGAGAAAACTTGCAATCCTTTAATCATAACGTTATGGATAACAGTGAAGCGACGAGAAAAACGTAAGAAAACTCGCCCAGAAACGCTAAACCAGTCCCGGCGTATTCACGGTCTTAAATCTGAAACGGGAAATAGAAGCAGACGAGATTAGATTTTTAAAACGAACCAACCTAAAGCTAAAAAAGCAATACAATACAAGGAGACCAAAATATAGCCAGGAACCTGCAAACAGGAACAGAAGATTATATATTTTACGTATCGAATAGCGTACAGAGAAGCACAGAGATAAAACATATTGCTGGAAATAAATAGCCAAAGGTAAGCTGAAGCTTTCTTCTGACAGAATATTCTACCTACATTCGTTCCTTTTAGAGCCGGATTCAGTCACAAAATTAACTTTTCTTGTTACCCAGAAGAAAGTTAAATGAAATTAATAAAAGTACAAAGGCAAACTATATGCTCAACTCCTGGAAAATGTTTTTGCTTGAAATGAAATCGACTACTTATAAAAACGTTAATTAATAATTCACTCCACTCAACTACACTCCCTCCAAACATAGACCCAAACAAGATAAAGCCAAAAAAAAACCAAAGTTGGTGAACAACGCCCATAATAAGAAAAAGCGCGATCTAAAACCTTACAAAAGGCCGCCTCAATATGACGCAAACTTCATACAATCGGTGGCGCTCTGCAGATGAAATCGACGACAGATTCCCGGCACCACAGGTAAAAGTTCTCTTCGTCCACGATGATATTTTCGTAACACATTTCAGAGCGTGGGCGAGCTTAATTTGAGTCTAACTAACAAATCCCGGGAATGCCACTTGCCGGCCACTTTACCTTACCTGAAAAATTACAAGACATGTTTTTCTTTTCGTTCCTAAAAGCGATGGCAGTACAGGCCGCCGAATAAATGCACCGAAGTGCACTTGGTTTTGTGTCGAGGATTTCTCGGTGAAGAATGGACACGGCTTCTGGGCGCGAATTTGCAACGGAAAATTCAAATGCGCTGCAGCGTCTTCAGTTGGTTTGAAGGAGAAGGCGTCGTCAATTCGGTAATTAAAACAGATATAACTTTGCCCTTAAAACAGTCGAATTGTCATGCCATGAACACAGAGAGAATGTAACAACCGGCCACACGAGCATCATCAATCACCCGCGAGACTTCTGGGTAACTGACGTCACAGGAAACGGTCCAAATGTACCGGAAGTAAAAATTCAAAGAGGACTTCCGCTCTGAACGCAAGGCAAAAAAATAATTCAAATTTCACATGCGACAACAAAGACATATGTATAGTTTGGCCAGCTCTAGAGTATAGGAAACTGTAATTTTTTCGTCTGCAACCGTTGATAGTAAAAATAGGCGTATTTTATGGAAAATGTTGCTTGGTTCTTTCATTTATAAAATTTCAACTTTGATGACACAATGAAATTGGAAATTTGATATCTACTTGCGTAAAAAAAGTGCTCGACTTTGCTTTTCTTTCCATTTGAAATCGATGTTTTAGGGGCAAATTTTTGCTTTAAATCGTTACAATTTATTAGACTTATATGATGATCACTATATATTCTTTTCTTTAAAACGTACATTTAGGGATATTTTTTGTTAAACGGACTACTTGTTAACTCCTTATTATGTGCATATTTATGGGGACAAATAAGCCTCTGTGAATACAAGCAAGGTAGAAGTATCTATCTATTCACCACGCCCGTGTATGAATAAAATAAATCTTACTTGAAGTCAAATCTAGTGCGGAACTTCCATCCAAAGATACCAGTTTAATAGAAATTAAAGTAAAAAACGACTCACCTCTAAATGAAAAGATATCAAGTTCGACGAGCCTGTGGCACTATTTCTTGAAGGTTTTTTGCTTCAAAGCAACAAAAAATGACACGCTTGACCGCAAACGCAGCAATCTTCCCCTACCTCTCAAGAATCGCAACATGGAATGAAAACCTTAGTAGAAAGAGTTCACTAAGACTTGGACGAAGGGCTTGACGTCATCAGATCTAAACAAAAAGCAAATGTACGCCCACCGGCGGAAAGACAGGATAAAAATGCATACGTACACGTCTTTATGTGGACCAAAAAACTTAAAATTAATTTGACTCGTAAATTATATTCACCAAGCTAGAAGAACTGTTGGAAACAATTGTGCGACGAGCTAGATAAGGCCTATCGCTGACGTCAGCGTTACGTCATCTGAAGTCTGTGTATATAAATACACAATAAAGCCCGTCTATAACGAGTTGAAAGGAAAACATTTTTTTATCAAAAAAAAGTGCATGTTAATGAAAATGCTCAAAATGAATAATAACCTCTGCCCTAAGGGGCTTGATTTTTTTTGTTGCGAATGTAACACGCTGAAGCGACCCAAATCGGCCTTGGACGAGCCAGGTTTTTTTTCCTTTTTCGTATCGTTTTTTTTTGCAAGAAATTAGTGAAACAGAATACTTCCAAATATGAGCTTGCTGATTGATCGCAAACTAAATTTCAAAAGAAATCAATCGGCAGGCGACCATAAATAATTTACGAGGTCTGCTGTTGTTGCATAATTTTCTGAAGACAAAAATCCATTTTAAAATCCTACGCATTTTTACCTCGGTGTACGTCTATTTTTGCCCGATTTAGCCGTGCGTGGGTGGTTTTAATTTTGGAAAGAGGTTGAGCGTCACAAACAGCCATTTTTCCGGGTGGTTTGAACACTGTACCGGGTAAGCGATTGCAAAAAAATATGTAATTTTTTTTTTTGCGTTTCAGGAAGAATCATGATGCCACGAAGCAGGTGGAAAATGCTCTAGATTGCAAAAAGATGAAACCGCACACAGCTTTTCCTTTAAAAGCATGAAAATAAATATTTTAATCGTGGTTCTCGAAATGTTGGGTGATGTTTCGAGAAAAATCAACGACTCGTTACGTTTTCTTCGTAAAATAGGATTTTTTCCTTTGAAAAGCGAAAAGTATATAGAAGATATTGTTTTTCCCGACATATATTTAAAATTATTTGCAAAACAAAAAGTGTTTTTCGTCTCGTGGAACATTAAGATAATGATTTTTCTCGAGTGACAGACTGTAAAAGATCGGATCTCGTTTTCAATTTTGTCTCAAATTCTTATAAGAAAGTAAAATTCGAAACTGCAGCAGATTTTCGGCGTCCTTTTCGGGTAATGTAGACAAATAATAATGCTTTTGAAGAATAAAAGATTGCCCAGTTTTAAGCGCTGAAAGTACATAATATTTGATGCAAGCCCAGCCGCGGGGTCTCAGTTCGTGAGATGACATGCTAAACAGCAATGCATATTCTCAAAAATGTTAATCTCTGTAGGTTATTAGCTAAAGAGTGCAACTGAAGATAAGGAGACAAACGCATTAGTCAGCAAAATGTTTTGCAGAAACATTGGTTGACAAGAAACACCAAGCTTTGAAAATTTTTCCACGACATTAGCGGGATGACATTTGTGTAAAATGACATTCAATATGCACCTAACGCTGAGGCATTTTAGCTCGCATGCAAAAGCCGCCCGGCTTTAAGTTTTCTATTTACTTTATTTTGTTCATTCCATTTTATTATGTCTGCCGTAAAATTGTCTGCTATACAAGAAACCTCGAAACATAGATTACAATTAACAGCAACTGAGCCTCTGTTTCTACTAATTTGACTCAGACACGGTTGCAGTGAAAAATAAGTCAAAACTAAAAGATTTCTTCTCTTCAAGTCAACTATATTATAGCTGCATATCCTTTTTATTACTCGTATAAAATATTTTCATATTACAATAGACAGAAAAAGAAGAGGAAAAAGAGAGTTTCTATAGATTCGAAGTTGACGTGGAAAATTCAGCGAGTATTAAACTGTACCAGGCTTGTCTAGAGCCTGAGGTCAGTCAGTCTTCCCTATGTGTTTGTTTAAATTCAGTTGAATTTCTTGAATTTTGCATGGCAGCTACTGTCTTTTGCGATTGAAAGCCGCAAATGTTTTATAAATTTTATATTGTATGGGGTGCCTCATCCTTTAGACTCAACGTCATGTGAATGAAAGTTTCGGCATGGAAAACTGGCACTGCATGGAACGTTGCTCGATTTTTCCTCTATCTCTCTTTGTGTCAGTTAGTCAAATTTTTTTTTATGGAAACTTGGCTGGGTAAATTTACTAAACTTGTCACGGGTTCTACTCTTATGGAAGCGGCTTTAACTAAATAATTCTGCTAACACTGTATTCCATGAGTGGACAACTACGCACGAAGTTGACTCGAAAGTGTTTAAGTACCGAAAAATGTGAAGATTCCGTATCACTTTTTTTTCCAACCGCTTTTTTATACTTTCACGTCTGGATATTGTACAAAGCGTCTTAGAAGTTAATGAACATCTGTAACTTGCACAATTATTCAGTGTATTCAGAATTGCATGTAGCTATAGAATTTAACAAGCCGTCGAAACAAATTGGCCTTGAAACAGTCGAAGTAACCGAGATGATAGAACATCGGATTTTGGTGGCCTTCGGCCTTGGCAGGCGGAAATTTTGTTACCACTGATGTCTTTCGACAACCATTCTTGTCGTGTTTAAAATTTTCCAGATTTATGCTACAACTGTGTCGAACAAAATGCCACGCTTCTTTGCAACATGCAGATGTTAACATCATTCTGTTTTCGATATGCTGTTGAAACGGCCGGTTCAATGGACATGAAGGCCCGCTGTCCCGGGCTTGAAATTGAGCGGAGAACGGTGACAATGACTTCGTTACTCTCCACCTCCAAATTTTCTAAGGATGTATTCGTTGCTTTAAGAAGCTCCTGTTTTTGCATGGATAGAAAAGGAAATTCCCTAACGCAGCGAAGTCGGACTGAGTCGAACGAATGAGTCCCTTAATTCGGTTTAACTTCACTGTTTCCTTACTTAGAAAAACTTGGTTAAACCTTTATTTCTACATTAACTTTATGTTTTAGGTGTTTTAGCGAATCAAATCTTCAGCTCCTTGACCAATCTCTTTAAATTTACATCTATTGTGTTCTCTTTTGTTACTCGCGTTCACTCAGTTTTTCGCATCGCTCAGTTTGGCTCAGTTTTAACCAAACAAAGCCGACCTATGTAGTATGATATTTAAGTTTGAGTAATCCACTAGCTTTCAAAACGATGCCTGAGTGTTTCAGTCGGCTCTGAAGTTTAAACTCCTGTTACCTATCCTACCTTTAATGGGGGTAAATTTGCTATATTGATGTCAGTTGAAAATTAACCTTTTTCAGTCTCAGAGCGTTCATGAAGCTTACCGGCCGACTAAAGGTCCTCAGAAAATTGGGGCCAGCAGGATAAGACCTAAAGTGATTTCAGTGAGTTAGCCGTATTATAGAACGATAATTCTTTACAATAAAGTACTAATAATCATCAATACTATCCTTTTGTTGTATTTTGGGCTTTAACGAAACATCAAGTAAGTTTTGACAGTGAGTTGACTGAGGCATTTCGTTGAACTACACGTTTAGATTTTGGGTTGCTAAAATAAAGTGGCGGTTTTGCTTCCCTGTAGGCTGTGGGGATTGTTATATATTCAAAAATGGTTATTTATGAAAACAACTTGTAAAATAGTGAAGATGAAGGAGGTATTCTTTAGAAAGCAAAAGCGCAGCATGGTCCAATGCTTCACGAAGTAGCATAAACCTGAAAGTTTTATTCAATCCGGCAGCTCGTCAAATGTTCATCATTTTCCGTTTGCCCAGGGCAACGAAATAAGAGTTTACTAAGAAAGCTGTTCGATGAATTGTATTTAATCCCACCTTTTCATGCAAACGAGAAAGTAACTTACGAGATGAAAAAGTGACTCTGCACTCACGTGCACACCGCCGCAGCCCGCGAATTTGGCCCGCTGGAAGAAGAGCAACTGATTAACCGTCATATTTCAACTTCATATCCATTTCTTTTTTCTGCAAGCTCTTTTCTTCTGAACACCACCGATGCGATAACACAAAGCAACACGTAATGCGACTTGAAATGCTTACTAGAAAAGCCTGCTATCGCAAGATGGACAGTTTAACTTCCACTAAGGCAAATGAATCCCGTTAATCTGGTTACAGTGTGTTCCCCTCAAAATTGACATGCGAGAAACGTTGGTTGATACTACATCGTAACCGTTAGCAAACGATTCTATTGACTACTGACTATTAAAATTGGGTTTGTCTCGTCTTCATAATCAATATCAATGGACAGTTATAGCAACGGAAAGCTTTTAAGAATAAAACTGAACTATTGAGACGTTGTCAGCATGATTTCTATGTTACAAAATGGCGGCCCATGATTGCTGATCGAACCTATACACTTCCTCAAGGGCGTTTTGTTACGTTTCAAAACAATTTCTTCTTATATACGCCCTGTTCCCGTCACGAAATGATAAAGGAATATCCAAATTGTTAAATTTATTAGATAATATGTTTTTCATTGTTGTTATCAATGAAATAGGTTGGTGATTGCAAGACCTCAGCTGGGCGGGTGTTTGCTTCTCAGGCGAGTCTTTGCTTTTGATCTGACTGCACAAAGTTTGTAGTTCAGAAATTTTTGACGGAATAGCGAGGAACATTAAGAAATAGAGTTAAAGTGCGGGAAAAAAGGGAGGCGAGGAGAGAGATAGACTTTTAGGAATATTTTAAATCTTTACATAGTCTATTATTATCACATACGAGGACGAATTTTTATCGGCTACTGCAAATGTCTACGGCGAGATGCTTCAAATATTATGCCGACTGGCTGCGGGATCCAATTATAAACTTTGCGATGATTCGAACGTTCGAAAAAATATTTTAATACTTAAGTTTAGACCATGTTTACACTGTACATTACTAGAAAACAAAAAGGTTAGATCCGCTCCAGTCTTTGTAATTATTGGCCATTTTTCCGGTTTTGCCTAGAGGTACTCGCTTACGGATTACCTCTTCCTTAACTGGTTTCTCTGTATAGCTAAAGTTTTGCCAAGAACTTCGGACGCAATAATATTTTCCTTACTATGTAAAAGAAATCAAAAAATAACTTCAACTTAGGGCCTTTCCATTCGTTCGTCTTATTGTGATGTGTAATGTTAAGTAGGAAAATTCCTTGTTTTCTCTAGCAGAGTGGGAACTTCTGGTCGCGCTTAATGGTTCTTTTTGAAAATGAAAATTTGTCATCACTTTTTTAAAAGCTAAAACTTCATTTGATCAGACAATCAGATGGTCAAGTTAGTTTTCAAAGTTTTCTAGTACTCAGGACGTGCAAGTTCATAGCGCCGAAAAATTCTCAGCTCAAATACAATTTCTCTTCTTATAAATGTTACAAAATTTGGTAGATGACACCGATAGACAACGTGCTGGGTAAAGCTATAGAAGCCTTCAAAAATATCCGTAGATCTCTCAAGAACCTGAAAGGATTTCTGAATTTTACTGCCGATATAAACAGGACCGAGCACAACGGAAACAATGTTCGTCGACTGGTTAAGCTCGGGGGCTCCCATGCAACGGCAGTTTTCTCCTAAATACAGTGAAGACTCTAAGGCTGTGTAGAGTACTTTTAGATCTCTAGAAATACATTTTAAGGGGTGCCATCAGTAAAATTTGTATCTGTTCCGTTATCCTAGGACAACTGAAATCTTTTCGAACTTACTAGGGCTTCAATATTATTTTCCCGAAAATTTTAGCAGCTGCAATTTAAAGCTGTACGAAGATGAAAATTTTTTCTGATTCCTCTTTCTATCAAATTCCAAATTGTTCAGGTTTCCCTTTTTATCGAGGAGGGAAGTAATAAACTTCCTGAAATGGAAGGGAATTTCTTAGATAAGCTTCGAAGAAAATGGTACATGATTGGAACGATCATTGAAAAGTTTTAGCCACCCTTCAAGCTTCAAAGGGACAGGGGCACCCAATGATGGTTTCCCTCTAAATACATTGAAAACTCTTTTTAGGGCTGTCCAGAGTCCTTTTAGATCTCTAGAGATGCATTCTCAAGTAGCGCTATAAAATTGGTATCGGTTTTGTCATCCTAGGGGAACTTCAGTCCCCTCGAAATTACCAGGGCTTCAGGATTATTGCGATAAATTTAAGATTTAACGTATTACGAAGGAGAGAACTTTTCTGATTCCTCTTTCCATCACATTTTTGAATCCGAAAATTTAAGGTTTCTTTTTGCTACGAAAAATAATCAAACCTAAGGAGTGAAATGTGAAATGAGCTTCGAAAATTTTACATGAATGGAACGGCCATCTAGAAATTTTTAGACGGTTCTCAAGTAATAGAAAGTTCTAGGCAATATTTGCGGCTCCGAACAGATATTTTACAGAAAACAGTCGTTGGGTGCCCCTGAAGGGATTTTAAACAGAAACTTATGCAAACATTGTTACAGAAATTTCTTGATCCCGCGAGCTTTTTGTAGGTTTTAACATTTTATTATGCCATAGGAATTTTAAACGGAATACGTAGGTAATTTTTTCCCTCTTTTTTAGGTAGATATATAACCTTTATAAGCATTATACCTTTGTCTTGTATCACTGAAAAACCCCGCAGGGGAGTGTACGATAAACTTCTTACTTCTAGAAAAAACTAGGCAATATTTGCTTCTTCGAACAGATATTTTACAGAAAACAGTCGTTGAGTGCCCCTGTCCAGCATTGTAGTTTGACAAACCATTGGGCTTCCATCGAGTTATCTAGATGTTCTTTCTGGATATCTAAAAACTTTAGTATGATACTGAGGTACAAGCAAGATAAAGAAGCCTATTTTCTATTGGCATGAAACTGAGAATGACATTCGCCATTCCGTCTTAGAAGGATCCAGTTTAGCAGGGAACCTAATACAAGTTCAAGTTAACCCGACTAAGAGATGGAGTTGACAGTTTCAGTTGACATTTTCAAATTCTGAGCTCAAATACAATTATTTCTCTTCTTATAAATGTTACAAAATTTGGTAGATGACACTGATAGACCATGCGCTGGGTAAAACTATGGAAGTCTTCAAAGTTATCCTTAGATCTCTCAAGAACCTGAACCTGAACCCGATTAAGAGATAGAGTTGACATTTTCAGTTATTGCTGTTAGTCTAAATTTTCTGTAGAATATATCCTTAGATATCGCATTCAGTTCCGTTAAAAAACTTCAAAGATTAATTTTTTAGACAAAGTAACGGCCGATGACTGTACCTAATAACGGTAAAAGTGTGTTAACAATTTAGGACTCCGACCTATAGTCCAAGGGAAACCGTTCACAAAAGATCCCTTGACATAGGGAACATATCACTGTGGTTTTGAGCGTTTTCATACCTTGCTTCAATATGGCAACATGACTCAGCCGGGAATGTAGAATGGTGATATTTTGGTCTTCTTTCTTTATAATACGTTAGTATTTTACTCTAGCCTAAGAGAAATTGATTTGCCAACCAATTTAATTCCATTTGAACCTGTGTTTTAGTTGAAATTTTTATTTTATACCTGACAGAAAAACTATTCATATTGCTGCAAAGAGGGCGTGGGGAAATCAGCTTGTAAAATGGGGCATTATACTGATATGTTACTTAATTGCAGCAAAAAAGGCCGATGAATCTTTATGCTGGGTATACTGAAGTTTTTGTATATTTCGACCGCAATTTCTAACTTGACTGTATTTTGGCATGAAATCGAAAGATTCTGCATTTCACTAAAATACATATCCTTTTATAAATGTTAAAGAAATCTTACATTGCTGCACCGACAAAAGATACTAGTTTCTAAATGTAGAGATTTCACAACCCTGTAAGTTTTTTTAAAATTATTGGCGTGTATCTACTCTGTATCTAAACCACAAACACAACGATCAGGGGAGGCCGTTTGACGATTCTGTACAGTTTTTCCGGGTTTTCAGTGTAAATTGGGAAACATTTGCTTTAATTCATTGATATGTAACTAGAAATCATTGTACTTCTTGAAACAATTTCAGTAATCTTTTTCAATTTCTTTCCAGGAAAGATAACTTTAAATTCCTGTTTGCAAGACCTATTGCAAAATCGATAGCAGGGATGATGAAAGACTAAAAGCGTGGGCACTTGTAACTTCCCCCTCACGGTTATCTCTTTTCGACTTCCTCAGTTTTCAGGCGCCTTTTTTGGCCCCGCAAAGGTTACTTTCCCAAAGCCAACCAAATGTCTGAATAGCAATAACGAAGTTTATTGAGAAAAACCTTTTGAATTAGCCATGAGACATATACTTCAGTTTCACTTTGTGATGCAATCTCAGATTGGTCGAAGCCCTTCATGATGTGTATCTAATAATCAGTCTTGGTCCAGACGCCGTTCAATTGAAAATTATTTCATAATTCTCTCTCAGGACTTTCCTTTGACATTGTCAGAAATAAAGCTAAAAGTGATTTTAACTAAATCATTTCGGCCTTAATATTGAGCCGACTAGTCTAAACCTCGGTTTAGCGTACTGTGCAATATAATAGGGTGGCTCTTTTAAAGCGAACTCACTTTTATCGATTACCGAATTTTTTAAAACTTTCGATTATCAAATGGAATATATTGGACTTTTCATATTTCAATATATTTCGCAGAATGATTTTTTTTTATTGTCAATGTATGCTATCCGTTTATTAAGGTTTAGAAAAGCCATATTTTAGACGAAGAAAAATGTACCAAGAACTACATCCACCACGATATGACAAAATTGCTACGAGCAACACTGCTTGCTATTTTGAAATAACTGACTTTGAACTAAATTATGAATTTAACCTTGTAATATACATTATCTTTAATAGTGTTCGCATTTCGTCTCAGCTTTAGCCCTTAGCGCAGAGGCAAAAGAAATCACTCAGTGAAGTAAGTTCCGCTTCTTCTCTATTATGTCAGCTTGTCACTGAACCCTTTCTTGCGTCATTTCTTCCGTTCACAAATTTGATAGTCATTTACACGCGATATAATGGCAAATTGGACACAAAACAATAGCCGATAACTATACAAGAAATTTTTCTTTACAGCTAACGGTGTGGCACGTTAGTCGAGGTTTTAAATTGTTATACTTCTATACCAAAGGCTGTTTATAATTGCTTCTTCAAAATGGCCCACAGCTGTTAACTGGTATGCGACAGAGAGTGCCAGACTTGTACATGTATTTTCGCCTCCATGTTACCTTTTGTTAAAAACTTCACCTTCAGCCACATGAAACATGGAGCCAAAACCTGCCGTGGATGAATTGATTCCTTTCTGTCTGTAAGATCTGCTTATTTTATTAGTTTTCTAACATCGAACGTTTATGTAATGGATTTCCTTCTCTATCGCGGTACCGCATAGGACTGAATTGACTTGAAGGATACTAGGTAATCAAACAAAAACTTTATTTCTTTATCCTTGATGAATCCTGCAAAAATATCGTAGACATTGCAACTAATTTTGCCGAGGGTTGCTTTACTGTTTGAAGCTGTTTCAAGTGTCTTTTAACCGTTGTTCTGTGAACTATAACTAGTTCGTCTTGTTCTGAGAAAACAGCCAACATCTCCCGACGCCAGCCATACTGGTTTCCTCGCGAAATGTCGGCTGTTCTCTGAGGCTAGTCTTGTTCTGAAATGATTCGTTCATCATAGAGTAGGGGACAGACACGAGGATACCCTGCGAGAAACCACTGCTCGCAGGGTAACACGAGGACAGCTCAGTCAGCCCAAAATTTATCTTATATCTAGAAACAAATAGAGTCAAAGTATAAATGGTCTCTTTAGTTCAAACATCGTTATAAAACATGATAAATTTGCTAACTTGAAACCCGTAGGACCGAAATTACCGCCTAGCAGCTTACATCTAATGGTTTATGTAGCAGAATTAAACAGTTTGCCTAGGTGAGACTAAGGACCATCAAGGTTCCTAAACATAGTGAGGACATAATTCCACCCTTCCTGCTTTATTTTCACTCAGCAAACAGAGTAACTTCCCCTTCCAAAGACCGACGTGCTTGCATTTGAATGTTTGCGGTTTCATCCACAAAAATGAACAAAGGTTAGAACCGCTTTATGCAGCATATATCATGCATAATAGTTAGCCTGAATTTCAGAGGATTACTAATCGTCTGAAATTCAAGCTACATAATAGCCTACGCCGGGAAAGTACTGCACGCTGATTTAATTTCAGTACACTGTTTCATTCGAGTTGTCACACTGTTTAGCATGTCGTTTATACGGGCTCAAAACTCAGAAACAAATGAACAGCAAAATATATAATATTACCTGAAACTATTGCTCAGTAAGTCGTGGTAGCTTTCATCTGAATGGTCACAGACTCATTTACAGACTCGAATTCCCATTTAAGCACTGTGCATAGCATAATCTAAGAACAAAAAGGCTTCTGGGGCATATTTGGGGCGATGAACACCTATTGTGAACTCAAGCTTTCAATAGACGTAGTTATACTTAAGGATTCGCCGTCTAAAGACTCATCAGAAACACTTTTCAAACATATTAATGGCAAATACTACAGGAAACTACAGTTCAGATTTATAGCTTTCATTTGAATAGTCATATATACTCAGGGATGTCCTACCTCACACACAGCACAGTATACAGTTAGTCACTGTAAAGTGTTTACTGTTCGATAGCCTTCCGCTGGTGGAATGTTCATTTCACCGTGTAGGCTTAAAACCGCGCTGCTTAAAATTGCACGCTATAATCATCATAAAAGAGTCTTTAACATAGCTTGCGTTTATTGCATGCCTTTCTTTTTAAATTTTCCTACAGGTTTTGGTTGACTAGGTGCCGGATGTGGAGGGACTGAGTTCACAGACTTGAAGGAAGGTTGCCTGTTGCGCAGTTGGTGGATTTGACCATTAGAAAAAGATTTGAACAGCGTTTGGAAGGAGCAAATATTGCCCAGAAATGTCTAAAGTCAGAGAAAGGCTTAAAATTTCTGAATGACTATTCCATACTTACTTAGGGTTTTCGGAGGTTGTGTTTTTCCCATTTTATCACCAAGAAATTGCGATTATGAAAATTTCAGTGTAAAGGTAAAACGTCCTCCAGAGTTTTCTAAGGAAACCATGGCTACTCTATGTCCTCGAACTTTCGACCACATCCATCAAAAGGGGCTAATACTTTCGGACGCATGGAACGAAAAGGCTACCTAAAACTTTCGAGACTACCAAAGTTCCTCCAAGACATCCGAACAGATAAATATTCTTCAGAGCAGCGACGAATTAACCAAATTAAACAGGCTTCTAAAGCATAGAGAAAACCATTTAAGATAATTCTTACGTATTTAGAAACTTTCGATCGTTGGCTGTCCTTGTTTAATGTCCGGTTGGTGAGTTGTCTTTTTTTAGTGATTTTGTGATATACCATTTGGAAATTAAAAACGATTTTTTTCTTCGTCCACGGAAATGGACGTGATATTCACCATGTATTTACCGTTAAAAATTATCCCCCTTGAAAAATTTAAGTAATATGCATGTCCTTAAGTCTTGAAACCCTGTAAGTGAATTGATTAGTCTGTATATGTATACCTATACCCTTTAAAGTTTATTCTAAAATTCCTTCCCTTCTTATGTTTATCCGCCCGTAATTTATTTTACTTCAACCACGACCTCAACCTCATTCTTTCTTGGTTTAAACTAAAAGTAACAGCGAACGAAGAGTCATAAATCATTAATTAAAAGTTTTGGTCAAGTTAAGATAGCTTCAGTCAGTCTTACTTGATGTACATATTTTCATACTGCCTGTAAATGAATATACAGAAACGAGATGAAATATAACACATTTTCTACATCGGGTGATATCGAGAAAACCGGGACTATTTGTTTATAATGTTTTTATTGTTGTTGTTGTTGTTAAATTTGCTTTTATTGAACTCTTGGGTTAATGTAAAATACTCGGTAAACATGACAAATTCTTCAAACTCTAGGTTTGGGTCACAATAATTTTTGTGCTGGCATTCATGAGGTTCAGTGACTTGTCTCAAACCTGAACCCGTCCAGTCCGTATGCTCGAGCCTGCGAGGAAACTCTCTCGAGGGCCTCGAGGGCGGGGAAAACGGGGAGAGGGAGCATTCTTTTAGTTACCTTTCCCCTCCACACCTTCCACCACCCAATTCGAGGAATTTGGCTCGTGGCTACTTTGTTCGCTTTTCTTATGCTTAGTGTGTTAATGATTTAGTCGATATTCTGCGTCTGAGAACGAATGTCACTTTCTTCCATTCTCGTCCCTAGGGCCACTCGGCTTCATTTGTATACCTCGTGACCAAAAGAAAAGGCAGGCTCTGGGGACGAAAATGACTTTGTCTTATACATGTATTCCATAGTTTGGTTTGTTGTCAACAACGCTGTTCTAATTTATCTCTTAAAACCTGTTATGATTAGTATTACACTTTTGAACAAAATTTCAAACAGACTGACCAAAACACTGGTCATTTTTTGTTTTTCTATCATTAGAGTATCTTTTGTATAGAGTTTAAAGTACGTAAAAAAGTGACTGAGGATACTTAGTTCTAATCTTCGCTCAGCTTTCACAAAAATGTGGAACTCACCATAGCCCCTTTAAAGTAACGCCATAATTTTAGACCATTTTATACTGTCCAGCTTGTGGTCTATTATCAATGCTGCGTTCTGATTGGTTGAGCTACTACTAGGCTAAATATTTTTGCCCACTTGTAGCGAACGGAGTCGGCTTTGCAAATCAAAACAATGGCGGCTAAATCGCGTTTTGCTAGCTAAAGTTGTTTGGTCTCGATATTTTTGACCAACTAGTTGGATTTTACTAAAACAATTATTCCTCTCGCCATCATGGCCTCTGAGTCAATAGCCTATTCGGCCTTCGGGCCCATGGGCTATTGACTCAGAGGCCATTTGGGCTCGAGGAATAATTGTTAAATACTATACCAGTTTACCTTTTTATCTCTTTTGCTCTTCTTCCTCATCTACTCAGTGGTCATCAGGGCAATTAGCACGAAAAACCACATAGACTGAGAGGTATCCTTTTAAAAATCGATAGAAATTATTTCCTTCAATTCTTCTAGGGCTACTACTCCTGTTCCGTACAGCTGGAGGTCCTGGAGCTTTCAAAAATGAAAGACTTTCATCGCAGCTCGCACATAAATAAAAAAGACCATCCTTCCAGATCCTTCGCCCCGAGTTTCTACATCTGTTTGATGTATAGCGCGGGTATGAAGTTGGAAGAGACTGGATGAGTTACTTCCCTATCTCGCTTCAAGCGATCACTTCCTTGAATAATCGCTTCCTTTGTGGGTAATCTTCTTCGGATAATCAAGGCGCCCACTCCCCGTCATTTCACTCACAACAGAAAATGACTCACAATAATTTGATCGGCAGTGAATTTAACCGGGTTTCAAGAATAACCAGCTGGGACCACTTGACAGCTAATAAACCTACGTTTTTATGACTTTGAGTTTTTATGACTTTTTTGAGTTTGTTTATTGTCAGTTTAAGGAGCATACCACTTTCTTGCTATTTTGAGAAAATACGTTATTTTCCGTGGGCACCATTGTTCTGCTATGAAGTGATGCAACAAAATATGTAAGAACTCCATGGGAAGTAACTAAAGTCAGTTGATATTGCTAAGGTGGGCGCACACGGAAAAAAATTCAAATCCTACGCAGCTACCGTAGTCGTCCTGTGTCGTGTCACGCAACGGGAGCGTAGCGTGACGAGAAGCCCGTTGCATGACAAGAAGCGGGTGGAGTGCGTCTCACAAAAGGGCTTTTATGAATTGTTAACGCTTAGATAGTAAATACTGAAAACAAAAATACTACAAAAAGTTTACAAATTCCATGTTAAGAAAACACTACAAAACACTATCCAAACAAATTTCGATGTACGTGTACGCTATTTAGATTATAAACACAAAAAAGAAAGTAGGAGGGAGGAAAACCAATACAAGTTAATCTTCGCATTAATCACCTTCGTTATAATTAAATTTGTGGAACTGTTAATGAAAACATCATTTTCTATAATGTTAGGGCCTGTTTACATGGAGTGGGGTAACCCGGTCTAGTGGGGTTGGTTTCTTTTGTTTTCACGCTCTGGGGAACACAAAACAAAAGAAACCTACCCCACTAAACCGGGGTCCCCCACTCCATGTAAACAGGGTCTTAATTAGATCTAAGCTTTGAAAGAAAGCCCCATGGTACACACCTACACTTTTACTTTTTGGTTCATTGTTTTGAAAATTGTGTAATTTTTGATAATAACATCCTGATCATGCTACATATATTTACAATTCCGCCAGCAACGCAGGCTAATATCTATAACAATTAACTTTCATTCAAGTATAACACAAACAGAAAAAAAGTGTGTGAAATTTGATTTGTTCGCCATTGCGACATGCAAGATATTTTTGGTCAGTTCAAGTCGTCTGCGCGGCCATGTTTCCTTGGTCACAAAATATTTTTAGTTTAAACGCCACAAATTGTCTATTCTGTACTTGGAGAGAAAGGTGATTTTACGGTGTTGAGGCATAGTTTCACCTTGATGGGGACCAATCTCAGAGGTAAAGAAGCCATTTTTTAAATTTTCTATTACCGTTCTATGGAAATTAACGCGACTTAAATTACCGCGAATTTAGTGGAAAACGACTTTTTCGAACAAAGGAAATTAACGCGAAATAGAGGGTAACAGTTCAAAATGAAGGAAAGTGATGTGACGTTCACAAAGGAACAAAACGTTTTGAGACAAAAGAAAAAAAGTTAAACGTATAATTCGAATGGAAACTTTGTTCGTGGTACTCTCAGTACGCTCCCCAAACGAACGAAGGGGGGTCAAGTGAAGAAATCTGGCCACTTCGAGGGTTATACACAGTTTCACTGTTACTCAGTGGCGGATCCCTACCCTAATAAAATATTCCTCTTTCTTAGTTGTCGAGAATGCATTAGGGCCATTATACTACTACATGAGAAATTTCGGCAATTTGATTGGCTTAGAGCAGTGGTATTTCAGCTTAATTTGAAATACCTACATGTGAAAATTACAAGCCTTTTGCGGGTAGTAGTATAAACAAATAATAGCATATAAATACCACTACTAATCATGCTATTACCTATACAAATTATAGAAATAAAATTTCCATTCAATTAAATATTAAAGGCGTAGAATTGAAATTAACGTTTACCAAAATTAACGAGACTTAAAGGCGGAAATTTTTGAAATTTACGTTAAGTGTAAATTTTCTATAAGAAGGTATACATCTGTATCTTAATCCAAGCTTACTTTTCGAACGCTTTATAAATAGTTCTTTTAGAATGAAAAAAAATTCAATAAATAAATGGAAATCTAAAAACTGGTATGAAACGGTTTCGAAATGGATACAGCCGGCGAATAGACTTACATGGCATATCACAGACACAAACAAGAAAGTGAGTTATTTTCATTTCAAATCTTATCGAAGGTAAATTTTAGGGCTTATTTTTTCAGTATTCCCATACATTTTCTTATGACATTCAAATTTAGACGATTCCCTTCGTTTGAGCTGCCTGTGCCTATACCATCGGTTCAGCCGGTTGAGCGAATGAGTTCAAGAAGGGCCTCAGAGTCTGGAGTGATAAAATCACAAACTGCCGTTTAAACAGAATTTTTAAATGCAAAGAAGAAAATCGCGACTTTTGCAATTGCGAATTTTCAGGCAAAATTTCAGGCTAATTTCTTTTAGGATCTGACAAGAACCCATTATGGCTCTTGGAACTGAATAAGTCGCGTCAAGAGAGGATGAAGCCTTACTCCTCTCTTAGCTTGTTCAACTGCTATGATCACTTTTGCATTTTCATTTGTTCAATCCGCAGTTTGTGTAAATTTATGAACTTCATACATTCATCACTTTAAAG